GATTGCTGTTAATAATAAAGACAATGGAAAGGCAGGCAAAGATGACATCCTCCCAGGCATTACACAAGGCAGACAAGAAATACCAAGACTCCACATGGAGCCTCTCAGAGAAACAAACTGAAGTTAGCAGCATGTTAGAAAGCACAATATTGGACTCAACGATCTTAGAGGTCTCCACCAACCCTGATGATTCTATGATTCTGAATGCAACTTTCAGACATTCTCATTACACAGAATGAAACTGGCTATGTTAATTATTTGTCTACATACTAATTCTATCATGTGCTGCTCTGTAGAGACATTTCCATCTTCAAAAACTAGTCCAGCTAAACATTATAGCTACCAAAACCCTCCCACGTAAATTAGGTACAACTCTCAGCAGAAGAATTCTGGCCAGCTCTCCTCTCTTTCCTCTTCTTCCTGGGGTACTAGTGGACAACAGGTTGTCCATGAGTCACAGTGTGTCCTTGTGGCTAAGAAGGCCAATGGAATGGAGGGATGCATTGGGAAGAGCATTGCCAGCAGGTCAGGGAGGTGATCCTGCCTCTCTCCTCAGCCCTGGTGAGGCCACACCTGGAGGATTGTGTCCAGTTCTGGGCTCCTCAGGACCAGAGGGACATGGAGCTCCTGCAGGAGGTCCAGGGGAAGGCAAGGAAGATGCTGAAGGGACTGGGGCACCTCAGTGATGAGGAAAGGCTGAGGGAGTTGGGGCTGTTCAGTCTCCAGAAGAGACACTGAGAATCCACTCATTAGTGGATTCAAGTCCATGAACGGGAAGTGCCAAGAAGATGATCAGACTCTGCTCAGTGGGGGAAACCAAGAAAACAAGAGGCAACAGAAAAAAACTGATGCCCAGGAAGCTCCACCTGAACACGAGGAAGAACTTCTTTGCTGTGCAGTCACTGAGCACTGAACAGATTGCCCAGAGAGGTTGTGGATTCTCCCTCACTGGAGATATCCCAGCACGATCTGCACACAACCCTGAGCCATGTGCTCTAGGGTGGCCCTGCTGGAGTAGGGAGGTTGGATCAGATGTCCCATTGAAGTCCCTTCCAACCTCACTGATTCTGTGATCCACTACCACTGGAATTGCTCCCTTTTCTGGACAGTGTTTTTACATAGTATTAGTGAGCTGAGCCGACAGACACCAGGGGACACAGAGTATTCCCCACTCTGTTTCCAAACGGCCTGGCCTGACTCCAGTCATGGCACTCCATGAACTCTGACTGTCTAGAGAGTTGCATACTTTGGAGAAGTCTGATGATGGTCCCAGGAGACAAGGCTTCTAATTCACAAAACACTTTGACAGACATTTAAGCACCAATCTCCTCAAATGGAGAGGAAATTCATGAACAAGCATTGCAAACAACAACTGCTTATCAAGCCTGTTGAGGAAACTAAGTGTTGAGTTTACAATTGTACAGTGAGTCTTAATGACTGATGAATTCAGCTGAATACAGATTCCTGGAACTGTGCTTTTGTAATTCCTCCAAGGGATGAGGAAGAATAGCTATTTTATCAGTTCACTGCACTGACAAGATTATTCTCAACACCTCAGCATTAAACACAGTATTTATATCCTCTCACCCTTAAGAGCTCCTTACAAGACCTCTACAGTCACACCATAGGAACCATTGAGCACACCACTTAAGACCAGGGCAGAAGAACCTTAAAACGAGAGCTGGACTGACACATACAGTTCTAGCCTGGTATTGGGAGAAGGAAACCAATCCAACTCTCCAGTCTGAATAAAAAGCCAATGAAAGCCATAATCCTCTTATTTAAGCTTGAAGAAGCTAACAAGAGAATCAATTTTAAACTCGAAGCAACAGGTTTTAAAACTGCAAGAAGAACAAATGAGACTTCTCCACTAGCCATAAATTGAAAGCTTAATAAAGCACTTCAGTCTTCTGCACATAAACACATTGAAATAGTCAAGGTTGTATTTCCCAAGCTTCTCTCCAAAACTAAACAGGCACTTCTTGTACATTTAGGGGGATAAAAGTTACCAGTGTACTGTGCACATGATTTTCTCTAGCTAGTTTCATGGAATTAGAACCATCAAGGTTGGAGGAGACCTCTAAGGCCATCAAGTCCAACTATTAACCTGTCACTCCTGGAAACCCTAAACCAGATCCTCCAGTGCCACATCCAGACACCTCTTCAACACCTCCAGGGATGGTGACTCCACCGCCTCCCTGGGCAATATCCCAGTGCCTCAACACCCTCACAGGGAAAACATTTCTCCTCACATCCAATCTGACTCTGCCCTGGCTCAGCTCAAGGCCGATTCCCTCTAGTCCTCTCCCTGCAGCCATGGCAGGACACACATCCCCCACCTCTCTCCAACCCTGGCAGGGAGTTGCAGAGAGCCAGGAGGTCACCCCTGAGCCTCTTCTCCAGGCTAAACAAACCCAACTGCCTCAGCCCTTCCTCATATGCCATGTTTTCTAGACCTTTTATGAGTGTGCTCCAGACATCTGTTTGAGCAAGCCTGGGAATAAAAACACATGAGAACACCCAAAACTTCAGTTAAACAAATAACTCCCTTCCCCCTTGCTGTATTTAATGATATGCTCCTAATCCCTCCAAACCCCTGGCTGAGCAGCTGACAGACAGTAGC